TTAAAGTTGACACACTGATACCTTCTTTATCACAGGTATGTTACCTCCCTCTGTTAAGAATTGATAAAATATATTCATGCCCATATTTTACTGATTGGAAAAAACATATTCACCATGTTTATTTTTTTCAAAATGCACATGGCAACATTTCCACTGAAGCATAACTTCTATTGTCCTTTCATTCTAATGTGTCAAAACTAAATTTTTTGCACATAATACATTCAATCTATACACAGAAAGGGTTAATTTGGGTTTACATACCAATTCACAATGAAATTATTCAATTAAGTATTTATTTTTATTTTAAGTCTTATGGTAGCAGCTATTGTATTGAAGAATTAAATTGAAAATGAACATGAATTAATAAAAAAAACCTTATCATGCGTGAAAGTCTGAAAAGTCAACAATGTATATTCTTGGACAGTCATATATACATATATGTGACTAAGACAACTGAACCTATAACTTACATAAACATATACAATTTTTGAAATCTTTTGAAATGCATAATAGCTCATATTGACAGATAATGAATAAACTGAATACCTTATACTGAGAATGGATAAAAGATATTACTCACGCAGGTACCAGCAAAGCCTTATTTGGTTTAGTTATTAGCCAAAGAATTGACTATAGGGACACAATTGGAATATAGCAATATTCTTTTAAACAGATGAACTTCAGTTTTGAAGATAAATACCTATTATTGATGTTCCTTATGTCATCATATTAAGAAAATCCCTGTTCAGCTATTTATTAGCTATACTATGATGGAATACAGGCAATATATAAATTGGTGGCAATCTGCATGATAGTGGCTTAAAATTTAGCAGGAGTAAAATTCCACAGTATTGTGGCTAAAAGAAAAAATAGCTAAGAGATAACAATCATTAGTGGTGTAATTTCAAGAGCAGGAAATGGAAGAAAATCACAAATACTTACAATAGCCAAGTACCTGACATTAGAATGGTCACAAATACACAAAAGGAATTTCTGTCATAATGCCAGAGTCAGACAGAAATAAAAAGAAACTGAAGGACACAGTGTCATACAAACATATCTGTGCTTAAGGCACAAGTGGGGAAATAACACAGCAAAGATCTTTCTAGAGAACCTGAGTGAATTTGTTGGACTATGTTTTGAAGTGTCTTGTCATCATGAGATTCCTACTGTATGCCAGATACTTGCATTGAAACCAGGATAGAACGATTTAAAAGATTCAGAAATGATAGGTGATTCCCAAAATTCAATCATTTACAGGCACAACGTTGCTGTCAAACATAGATCTTCAGATTCGGAGGTAAAAGCAACACATAATGTCAGAACTATTTAAAGTTTAGATAAACCACTAAACTAAGAACAAACAAGTTGGGCATTTAATATCTTTCTGCCATATACAATAATCAATTGATTTACAATAAAGATCATGATAAAAATGATCTTTGAGATAATAATTTGCAGACATATAAGGATAAATCAGGCAAAATACTTTCTCTGTAATAATATGCAGTGAAAATACAAATTCAGAATGTAAGGTTGAATGGTGAGAACCTAATATGAAAAAAAATGATAACAAGATAATTTCCTGTGATATACTCTGTTGTCAACTGAGAGCATGAGGTGATAGGGTAGGTTCTAGAAAAGTAACTGCTTGTACTTTCAGTCAATCACCAGTTTCCAGAATAAAGTACGTCTTAATCATTCCCACAATGTATATCCCTGAGGATATGAATACCAAGGCTCTCCTGGTCTCTATCATTTACTTATACCACAAGAAAATTATTTTTCGTGCAGATACTGAAACACTTCAAGTCTGAGACAGGAATATTACATCACCCAAGAGATTAAATAGATCAAGTAGCAAGAATGTCCTTCCTGCACAGGAGCTAGATAAGGTGAATCACAGCTAAAACACAAGGAATTACAAAGTCGTTGATTTTCCTAATTTCCAAGGGTACTATCTCCTGCATAAGTCATGAAGAGTTTTCCTTCATTTGTTGTAATGCACAGATGGGTTTTTTTTGTACAAGAAGTTAATGAGATGTGACATGTTGTCACAATCTATTTGGTAAGATCCTGAAAGTATGAAAATTGGACATTGTTCTTGTTTCTCTATGAGGGCCTATATACAACCAAACTGTGCTTGGAATCTGAACTTGCAAAGTTTGTGAATTCAGAGTTGTTTGATTCATACTTCCCTGGTGGCTGAGAATGTTGAGCTATTTAGAGATACCATGTCTCTCCTCTCATAAATGCTACAATAAAAAACAAAAATGACAGTTTAAACTGGAGAGGATGGGGGAGAGGGGAAAACTCATCCACTGATGGTGGGCATGGCAATTCATACACCAATTTTGGGAATCAATATATGGATTCTTCAAGAAAATGCCAATCAGTCCATCACAAATATCAGCAATTTCACTCTTAGGCATATACACCAAAATGCTCAACATAAAGTCGTGACATCTAGCATACTATTCATAACAAAATTATTTCCAATAGCCTGAAACTGCAAGCAACTTAGATGCCTCTCAACTGAAGAGTGGACAACGAAAATGTGATATATTTACACAATCAAGAACTATTAAGCAGAAAAAAAAAACAATGGGAACTTGAAATTTGTAGTCAACTGGGTGGCACTATAAGAAAGCATCCTGAGTAAGGTAACACTTTCAAAAAATCAAATTGTATGTACTCACTCACATATCAATCTTAGGCCTGAAATAGGGGAGTGCCTGCTTACAATCCCACAGCAAAAGTATCTGGTAATGAGGGAGGACCTGTAGAGATATTCTTTTGGTTCCACAGAGAAGGGGAAGAGAACCTAAGCTCCTAACAGGATTAGGAGGACAAAAGGATGGGAGAGATGCTGGGAGAAAGAGCAAGATTGAAGAGGAGGGAGTAGACGAAATGGTAGAACAAGAAGTATGAATCAGAGGTGCAATAGAGGAAGGCAAGATTAGAAATACCATAACAGAGTGCATTGTTGTATGTTTGAGGAAAGATATAGAACTAGTGAGATTTCCAGAGATCTACAAATATGACACCAACTGGCAAAGTAAGCCTCAGTGGAAAAGCAGCACCAAATGCCCTTCCCTTATAATGAGATTGAACTCTACATTATATGCCATCTTATTCCCTTCTGTTAGTGGCTGATGGATGCAAAGGCAGACACCCAGAGCTAAACAATGAACTGAACTCAAATATCCCTGTTACAAAATGGGAGTGGTGATGAAGAAAGAGATTAAGACTTGGCTGGTGAAACCCACAGAGCCAGCTTACCTGAACAAGGCAGAGCTTATGTACCCCAGAATTATGACTGTTAGTCCAGGATTTGACTGATAAAAATACGCTTAACATGGGGGTTTGTGAAGAGGCATTGGATGCTAGGTCAGTATTTAGCACTGGTGTATGAATGGATTTTGGTTGCCCATACAAATTGATGGTATTCTTTCGAATCCTGGATATATGCGGATGCCTACACACTACTTGGGATTATATAGGAGACACTGAAGATTCTCCATGGGTGCCTCAATCTATTTGGGGATTAGAGGGTTATGGAGTGGGGTTCAAAAGATGGTGGGCTGCTTTGTTTGAAGCGAGCATGAGGAAGCTGGGATTGAAAAGTCAAGCAAGCTTGTTTCCAATTTAAATAAAATAATTATTTTAAAAATCTTCCTGATGCAGAACTGTCATTAGGGTAAATGACACATGGCTGTGGATTCAAAGCCTGTAAATAATGCAAATGTCAAAGTCAAATACGTTACATCATCACAAGATAAACTTTGGGCTACAGTGATGTCTGAGTCCTCTTATTAGATGATATCACATAAATGCACCATGATTTTACCTTGTTTGCTTTTTCCCAAAACCTTTACTCATTAATAAAATTAATTCCCAAATTTTAGGAGCTTTGTTCTAATTCTGCTTATGTAACACTCTGTATTATACTCTACCTAGCATATCGTTTTGAAAAGTACCTGTTATGGAAATATACTAAAATTTTCATTCAGATAAATAACTTGAAATTTAGGAAATGAAGGTAAATGCAATAATGTTTTTTATATACAGAATTATATAAATAGAACATATTAATATGTGTTGTACATTACTTTTAGTATTTGAATGATATGGAAAATTACAGGTATGAGAAACTTAGATATTCACATGAAAATTTGAATCACCTACTGTTTGTTTTCAATGCTACAGATCTGTCGACTAAAGAATCTAGATTGGGTATTTATCCTATGGATGTACTGTGAGGAGCATACCTTTTGAATTGACACTGTCAGAACAAAGAATGTTCCTTTGTAAATTGTAATGCAGTGCAGGGAATTATGCCAATGTTTCCAGACAATGTCAGCATGAATTTTGAAAATCATATTTATTTCCTATCATTGAACAGTGATACTGGAGATTTCTTTGTACCATTCCCTGCTAAATAAGAGTGCTAGTGTGCAGTTCACTGCCATACCATCATTGGTTATTCAAGGGGTTCAGATTTGAGGATATAATTCACATGCAGCTTAGCAGGTATTACTGCTTTTAATATCAGGCATTCATATAATTCATGAATAAAGATACAATATATTAGGCATTCCCTCAATGGATGTTTCAGGGGAGAGTCAACAGCAGGAATTCCTGGTCTATGCCTCAAAAAAAATCCTAAAATCAGTATTACTAATGTGGGGATTTTAGAACTTCACGTTCAACAATTTTCACATTTTTAAAGAAATTAAACGTTTCAATAAGGATGAATCTATTGTTATAGAGCTATAGCATAATGATAATCAAATATGTACTACAAGTAATCAAACAATTCATGAATTTCCTAATTCAAAGTCCATCTGTCTCAACCATATAAAAGGAATAGTTAATTAAGTGCCTTTTTTCTGAGAATATAGACTGAAGCTCTTCCATCTGTTCAGGAGCAATTGAGTTTCAGATTATAGCCAGAGCATGCCTGGAAATATCCAACAATTCTGACAACATCTAAGCTATCCGTTCTCTCACTGTCTGTGTGTATTTATGTTGTATGGAGAGTGATCTCAATCTGTCCAATGAAATCAAATGCTGCACAAAGCTTGGAAATCTCCTTCAGAGCTGCTGATTCATTTCTCCCTAACAAATAAACATGTGCTGCTGCAGAAACCACGGTACAGAAAATGGATCACAGGGAATAATTTACTTTATGCAAGACCTGAATACAATAAACAAAAGAGAAAAGCATGCCTAGGTAAGTAGGGGTGAGCATATATCCACCTGCTTATATCTTTATCCAGGCTATCTAGATGAATTCTTCAGTCTCTGTCTTGTGAAGGCTGATTATGATTCTGTACTGGAATTAGCTGCAGGATTGTAATGTGATTTAATTTCATGTACGACGCCACAGATTCAAATATTTGTCGAATCTGGGAATTGGAAATTCACAGATTCTCAGATGACTAAGTAAAAATTCTCCCAATCATAACAATTTAGGCTCTGTCCTCTAATTGTACATTTGAGGAATAAGAACCCAGTTTGGTTCAAGAATTGAGCTAAAACTAAATCTTCTTGCACATACTGCAGGATCCATGACTTAGTCATAAATCACTGATACAAAGGCTGAATCTGTGCCTTAAGAAACAGGGTCATGTTTCCTTCCAAGCAAACAGGAGAAGTTAGTCTTGGCAGGATTATGGAAAATACTGCCATCACCTACACTATCCTAGGTTTAATGAGACAATATCTCCAGCAGGTCTATTAAACAGTTTCCCTTCTATGTGGTGTTTTTCAGTCAAGCTTGGCCTAAATCCAGCTAAGTGCTGGATTTTAGGCCAGAGGCTGACTGGAAAAATGCCTCCTGTACTGACATTTTTATTTATGGAGATTGCCTCCTATTGGATGAGTGCTTCACTTAGAGATGTATTAGGACCAAATCAGTAAAGAGATTTCTAATACAAGCGTGGAAACAGATGACAGCAGTTGTTACATATCTACATCACAGATGCTGATTCATCTATGTCTCAGTTCTTGAGGTTTGTGTGAAGGCTGCAGGGGAATTGACTTGTGAGAGAGAATGATGTGAAATACAATACTTAATATGCCTCTATTTAATTGTGACCAGTTGCTGAGCAAATTTCTAGCTATTTAGAAAAGACTATAGCTCTGTACAAGAAAATCTCCATTCCTGTCAGCCAGAACCTGGAAGGAACCTAGATGACCCTCAAGTGAAGAGTGGATACAGAAAATTGGTATATATTCACAATGCAGTATTACTCTGCAGAAATATATATATATATATATATATATATATATATATAATGGACTATTGAAATTCACAGGCAAATGGAGGGCACTAGAAGAATCCACCAAGAGTAAGGTAATCGAGCCACAAATTTTAAATATATATTTATTAATATATTGATTTTATATATAGACCAGGGGATTGCCAGTATGAATTTCAAAAACAACAGAGGCTGCATAACAGTGAGTGCCCTAGGTGCCCTGAAGAATGGGAATGGGACAAGACATACTAAGCAGATTGTGAGCTTTGGGGGAGAGAAAAAGGAACTCAGATAAAGAGATGGGGGGGCAGATGGAAAACCTGGACATGGAGGAGCAGGAAGTTTGAGTCAGGTGAAGAATAGAGAGCAGGATAAGAGATACTATAATATATGGAGCCATTTTATGTTTTAGGAGATATCAGCACTATAGAGATTTCCAGAGATCTACAAGAATGACACCAACTCTCAATCGAAGTAATTATGGTGAGACAACATTAAATGCCCTTCCTACACATTGAGATTGATGACTACATTGTGTGCTATCCTATGGCCTTTATCCATTGGCTGATGTAAACAGAGCCAGACATCCACAGCTAAACACTGAATTAAACTCTAGGAACACATTTCCACAGAGTCAGGTTTGTTTGGCAAGGGAGTGAAGATCATGCTGGTGAAGCCCACAGTAGATGGTGACCTGAACTTGCGAGACATCTTGGAACCCTGATGAACCCTGATTGGCCAGCTTGTTATTGATCCATCCCCATGGAGTTTGGATGTCAGTTAGGATGCCTAAGTAATCTGTGAGCCTTATGGTAGTAGAACATCAGTATTTATCCCTGTTTTATCCTGTTCTTGAATGACCTGCCAGTGTGTAGCAAGGTAGGAAATATAGGTCACATATTCAGATTATCAGAATTCAGGGAGAGAATTCAGAGAGTCTCTGCCGAGGCGTGATGGAACAACTGGAAACACAGGATATCCATGTATCCACTCATTATCCAAGACAACATGAAGATGCCCACATTAATACAAATGTGTTAATAAGTGACAGAATGGTAGCAAGTGAGAAAAATGAGACTTTGTCCAAACAGTATACACTAAAAATAAGCATATTGTTTTTTTTGGCAGTAATAATTGTGTTTCTCTTTTTTTAAATAAATGGTTGGTTGATAGTGCCTTTATTCACCTTTCCCCTGATCAGCAATATGTTCTTTAGAAAAACATTGACCCCCAGGAGTTACTTTATAATAGTCATATGTAAATACTGTTCATGATTTCTGGAGCCTGCGCCCAATTGATGTTTGTTAGAAAAAATACAAAGTATTGAAAAGATTTTCTATGTAATCAATCATATCCCTGAAAAAAGTGATACACTTATTGCAATCAAATTATTATGTATCCTCTGTATTCTTTATATGTCGTGATCTAAATCTTTTGTGTTAGATAAAATTACAGAGTTATATTCATAAACAAAATGAAAGTCAGAAATTAAAATTGATAATGGAGTCTGTTGTCTGGAAAACATATATTCTAATTGTATCAAATTCATGTAGTCATATAATGACAAATATTCTGAGAAGAAAGCTTAATTTAATTAAATTCTGTGGCTCTTCTCCCATTCGTCAGGAAAACATATAATCTTATATTAAGTTGACACACTGTCATATATTGTGATTTATATATTTTTCATTTTGTACTAGAATCTAAAAGTAATCTAAGAAAAGTTCATAAACAGTGAAACATTTTGAAAGCATACATTCTAAGCACAAATAGTTTGCTTATTCTCAAGTTCACAATAATAAGTGGAATTATGTGCCAATATGAAATGTGTTGTGTTTGCTTGTGTGTGTCTTTGTGTGTGTGTGTGTGTGTTTGATAATACACAAACCATCAGAAAAGTAGGTGGTATAAATAAGGACATGAACTGAAATATTCAGTTATTAAATTATGATTCAAGCAACAAAGATACTCCAGTTTTTATAACAACATAATTACTTGGTGAATATGTTTCCTTAGTTAATAAAAAATTATTTTGTTGCTCCTTTGAATGGTTTTTTACCACACATGATAGAGTTAATGTGGCTAAATTTCATACACATGTCATAAATTTTACTGAAAAATAACATTCTAAATATTTAACTGGGAGACAAAGACAAAAAGAACAACACGTTTTGAAAAATATATGCTTCAGAGTTCTCAAAAACATAATTTAAAGTGAAATAGTAGAATTTACATTAGAAAATATTGGGACATTAGACTAAAATACACATCATAACATCCATAGTCATCGCATAGGGCAATCAGATTTATAACCCGGGATTTAAATATATATCAACATATATTAAGGTCTACATACTACTAACCTTTCGCTAAGAAGTATATGATTTGTAGTAAAATCCATCTTTCATTATTAAACAAAACAGTTTTGAAAGATATATGTATTTAAATTGAAAAATTCCTGTAAGTATATATTGTTTCTTGTTCACATTCATTTCAAATGTCATTTTTAATCACCTAATGTTTGCTATCCTAATTAATTTCCTTTCATTTCCCACAGATCTGTGTTCTCAAAAATCTGCTTTCTGTATTCAGCTACGCAGGATCTCTAAGGACTATTTCCAATATCTTTATAATGACAGTACAAATATTTTTCATTGGTAAATTCTATGGAGTTCATTGAGTTTTAAAAAGTTGTCACAGACATATTCAACATGAATCCTGAAAAGACTTATGTACTGCCTGTCAGTGAAGAGTGAGGTTGACAGTGTATATGGGAGATTTATGCATAACCTTCCTTCCTTGATGACTATTTCTTAATATAGTTCATTGAAACACAATAATTGGTCATGAAAAGCCTTCATGTCTGTGAAACTCCTTTACATACACTTTTACAGATATTGATGCTTGTAATGTCAGTCACTCAATAAATAAATGTATAAAACTACAATGCAATGGTCATTCACACAAGGGTTATCTCAGTTGCAGAGGAAACAGCTGGACTCCCCTAATCCATGTCAGATATCATAAAAGGCCTTAATTAATGATAGCACAATGGAAATCTTCTTAATATTCCTACTGTATTCATAGAGACTAACGCTCGTTCAATTCTACATCTCTGTGTCTGCCTATCTGCCTGTAAGGAATATGTCGAAGGACTGTAGGCCAGGCTCTGCCAGCTGTAGACTTATCTCCTTGCAACAAATACTGCCATGGAGAACTTCTGCTCCCTCTGCCACACAGAAACCTGCTCTATTTAAGCTTTGCTGATAATTTTTATGAATGAGACGTCATCAGAATACGCTCTTGTTCTTCTGTCTCCCATACCTACTCCCACCATTATGACTCCCTCCATATTAGATACCTGTTCTCCTTGACAACCTGTGTGCATTTAAGTTGTGCGGGGAATCTGAACCAATAAGGAGAGTGATCATAATACCACCAATGAAAGCAAATCCTTGGGAAAGATTTGAGATCTCCTGTAAAGCTGCTGATTCATTTCACTCTCACAAATGAACCTGTATAGCAGCAGAAACAATGATACAGAAAATGGATCACAGGGAAGAATTTACTTTATGCAGGACCTGTATAAAATAAAGAGAAACACATCACTAGGCAAGTAATTTGAGCATATAACCACCTGTTTGTATCTATATCCTTGCTGTCTATATGAAATCCTAATTCTCTGCCTTCTGTGCTGCCAATTGCAACTGGCTTGCAATGTTTTTTATATCTGGCCACATTCCACAGTTGCACTTATTTGGGGAATCTGATATTTGAAATTCACAGATTCTAAGATGGCTAAGTAAGTATTCTCCCAAACATATCTATTTATAGTGTTTTGTCTAAAGACCATTAGAGGATCAGGAGCCAAGTTTCTTTAAGAATTGAGTTAAAAATAAATCTCCTTGTACCCACTACATGATCAATAACTAAATTAGAAACAACAGATACTAATGCTGAATCTGTGGCTTTAGAGAGAGGTGAAACTTTCCTTCCCATAATAACAAGAGCAGTTAGTCCTCAAAGGATTATTGAAAATCCCACCAATCAACAAAGTCCATGTCTACTGCAGGTCTCTGGCATTGTTTCAATTCCTGTGGAGTTGTTTACAGTCAATCATGGCCTGAATCCAGCTAAGAGTTGAACTTCAGCCTGGAGCCTGATTGAAAAAATTCCTCCAGTATTGACATATTTATTTGGTGTGATTGACTCCTAATGGAGGAGGACAAGCATTCAGAGATGCATTAGGGCCCATTCAGGAGAGAGATTTCAAAACCGAGGAGGAAACAAATGATGACATAATCATAAATACTGTGTGCTCCAAGTGAAAATTTGAGCAATGCTAGTCCAGTTTTTACCAAGCATACATTTAAAACATTTTTGCACACACTGCAGGATCTATGATGGTGCCAGAAATCACAGATACTGATGTTGAAGCTGTGGCCTCAGAGAAATGGACACTTTTCCTTCCCAGCAAACAGGAGTATTTACTCATACATGATTGAGGAAAATCCCACCAATCACCTAAATCTATCCTAGTTTTTAATTGTCACAGTCTCCTGCAGAACTCCAGGACAGTTTCCTTTCTCTGTGGTGGTTTACAGCCAGGCTTTGGCTAAATCCAGGTATGTTCACAAATTTTTACTAGTTCAGATTTCCTCCTGTAGGAGTTGTCCAATATTCAATTTTTGATGCAATACTTACACAGTATCACAGGAATTTAAAACCCAGGTTTGGAAAGCAAATGACTGCAGTTAATTTGTTGTCTCCCATATGTACCAGTACACTGCTTTCTATCCCTCCTCCCTATGTACTGTAAATGAAACAGAATAATGGAAAGGTGAACATTGGATGAAATCTAAATTTCCATTAAACATGCCACAAATTGGCAAGACATACTTTCAAAAGGAAATTTGCACTGAGTTTCCATCAGATCTTAATTAGATTCTAACTTGCAACAAGTAAACCTTCATTCTTGTCTGCATCATTCTGATTGTCATTTGTGCAACTCTATACATCAGCAAGCTTACACATTATGATTAGTTAGTGTATTTTTTTTTCTCTGTGGTATTTTCATGTGGTGGAAATTTATTTGAAATGTATTACTCTATATATTATCATATACATCAATTTGTAACATATTCTTAAAAGACTGTAATATTTCCATATATTAATATATACTTGATCTGAAATAATTTATACTTACTAGGGAGCTCTGTATAAAGTTTCCAGGATTAAAGAAATAAATGATTCATAAAGCTCTCCTACAAATAGGACCTACTCAATTAAACTATCTCACATTGACTTAATAATATAGAAATAAGATCAATTTAAATGAGAAAATAAAATTGTAATTATATCTAAATTCTCAAAAATGTTGTGTTTGTTTTAAGGCATTTTATGTGATTGCTCAGTTATGTTTGCAAATGTCAACAATGTAATTTCTTCAGTGCTGGTATTCTAATTCATATGTTTTGTATTTTCAAGAATTCAGAGAAATAACAGATATCATCTCCAATTGTCAATATTGCTTTTTGTTCTTAAACTTATATTCTTTTTCTTTCTTCAATTATAACTAATTTTATTTAAGGCAGTTGTGTATCCAGCAATATGGAAACATCTGCTGGAAAATGAGTTGTACTCCATGGCAAACATTCCAAAAAAATAGTCTGAATTCTCCTTCACATTTACAGGATTAAATCAATGAGCACCTCTAATAAGCTGTTCCTTAATTTTTCTTGCACGAATGGATACTGTGAGTTTTGAGAGCTAGACAGTGTATAAAAATTATGCATTTTTCTGCTGCTAATTATTATTGAACCAAGACTACTCTCATACATATCAAATAGGGGTTGTATGCAGTTATTTCTAAGAATTAAGTGATTCATGATCAAATTTCTAGTGAACAGGAAGGTACCTGACTATCCTAGCTGGGCAAGAAAACTAGAGAGCATCCTGGGACTACATTTCTCTCATGTTGAGGAACTCTGTGATACAAGTATGCCTAGTTTTGAAAATCTGATCCTAGAGCGCATACTTACAAATTTCCAAATGAACCTTATGTTTACTGAGATGTCTAATTAACTGTCTATAGAACCACTCGATAACATAAATTGCACCATGAATACAATTCAAACACTATATTTCTCACCACATGTAGATCATTGTATCCTTATTTGTGTCTAGATAAGGTAAGGACCTCTGAGTTAGTAAAATTTAAATCTGATATTCTAAAGAGTGTATCTGATACTTCTAAATGCATGTATATTCTATAATTAAATCAGTGGGAATTTTTATATTAATATAATGGAACCACAATATAATATATGGATATATATGTAGACACACTCACAATCTCTCTCTCTCTCTCTCTCACAAACACAAACACATGCATATATACATACATACGTATGTATATATATATACATATACATTTATATGTCATGAAGTTTCCTTAGTTAATCCATGTGCATTTTTAAGATCCAAGGTATGTAAACATACACACAGGAAACATCAATGTCAAACAAATCTTGTGTTACTTACTTGTTATTTTGCTTTTGAGTAATAGCAACTAGGAGAGAAAAAATAATGGTGACTTCATTGTTTCCTATTTCCAAGTATAATTTATCTCATAAAATAATAAGACTGCCTGTATTTCACTCTGAAAAAGTATGTTGTTCTGCTCTCTTCATTTCATCAAATGAGAGGAGTGTCTTGATTAAGAAAAGGTGCCAACAGGGGACTTTGTATGAAAATGTGTTTCATATGTTATTGCAAAATATATTATCCTAATTATCGATGAAGGTATATTCTGAATTCTAACTGTAAGCTGGAAATTCATGAGTGTACTTTAAATAGTGTTTCTACATTGAAAATTAGCGCAGCATCTTATTCTGCACATCAATTTTGACTTTGACACAATGAAACCTATTTATCACTGGTATATTACCCACATTCTGTAAGTACAGGTAAAATATATTCATGCCATAATTCCTTGATAGTAAATAACATGTATAAGTAAAACGCAGCTATACATGATTTTTTTGGTTTTTTGGGGTGTTGAGGTAGATTTATTTCCAATTTTCTGAGAAACTGCCATATTGAGTTCTAAAATGACTGTAGAAGTTTACAGTCTACCAGCAGTGGTGTAGAACTCCCCTTTTTCCTTATACTCTCCAGCATAAAGTGTCAGCATTTTTTATCTTAAACATTATGACAGGTATAAGATGGTATCTCAGTGCTGTTTGGATTTACATTTGCAAAGTTATCACCATCCCTGACTTCTTTCTCTACTATATAGTTATAGTAATAAAAGCAGCTTGGTTTTGGCATAACAAGAGACTTAACTCAAATTCAAGAGCATCAAAGACCTCAACATAAATTCAGTTATACTGAGCCTGATAGAAGAGTAAGTAGAAACCAATCTTGAATGCATTAGCATTGGAGACTTCTTTCTGAATATAACACCATCAGCACAAACACTGAGATCAACAATTAGTAAATTCAACATCCTGAAACTGAACAGCTTCTGTACAAAAAATTACACAGCCAACATGACAAAATGGCAGCCCACAGAATGGAAAGAGATTTTTACCAAGTCCACATCTGATAGAAGGCTGATCTCCAAAATATACAATTAACTCAAAAAACTAGACATCAAAATACCAAATAACCAAATCAAAATATAGTGTACAGATATAAAAAGATAATTGTCAAAAGATGCATGCTAGATGGTCAAAATACACATAAAGGATTGTTCAGTGTCCTTTCTCATCAGCGTAAACACAATATTTTCTATTCCATCTTACAGTCCAGAATCAAAAGTACAAAAGTACAGTCCAGAATCAAAATTACTAATACAATACTAATAAAATACAGGAAAGATGCAATATTCATAAATGTCAACACAATTCTCAATAAATTTAAATGAAGCAAATGTGCTCCTCTGTTAACCTTAAACACTTCTTTGCTTTCCAGTTTGTGTGGTTTGGTCTTGAGTGTCCATATGTAAATTAGTCATTTAATCAAATTGCCATCACTAGTAGTGTTTTTCAATGCCTCTTCTCGTATCTTCTCTTTGTCTTTTGATTTAAAGTCTATTTTACTTGATTGTGTGGTAGTGAATTTTTAGATATCTCTATTATTAGAGATAAAACATGTACTTGCAAGATGCATATGGTTGAATTCTTGTTTTCTTCTAGTGTGCATGTGTGATTATGTGCTACTATTCAAACACCAATTAGGATATTGTATTATTAATGTATCCTAAGTCCCCAGAATCCAACCACTTCAAATCCTCAATGCTAAGGTTTTAACACAGATATGCTTTATTTTTAAAATGGGTTTGATAGTTTGAACTTGGAGTCTCACTCTTTCAGGACAAACATTCTTACCAACTGCTTCATCTCTCCACTTACCAACTCTAACTTATATTGAAATGTTTAATTCATAAACAGTCCGTCTAGACATTTGAAGTGAAGTGTAATAACTACAGCCATTTCTTAATGTACTTTGTAGTATTATTTGTAGTGTTTTTACCCATACTTACTGTCTAATTTAGTGGTTCACTGATTTATTCTCATAGTGAATTTGTTCCCCTGACAATTGTTTCTGGATTACTCTTTTTTTTTAATTTTTTTAAGTTA